TTGAAAAATCATACTTTTTAAAGTTATTTCTTACAGATTTTATAAGGTGTGGGCTATCATGGAAAAAATAAATTTTTTCACCTTCAAAATGAATGTAAGGTTTTGTTTCAGTGACTCCAAACAAATTACGCATGAATAAGTTGTTCGTTCCTTGGTCACAAATTAATACTTTTGGTATGAGTCTTCTTTCTTTTAATTTTGTTATTGTATGTGCAACAATTTGTTTAAGTCTATATCCTTTGACTGGTCCACTTGAAAAAAAGTACCCAATAACTTGTTTCCAAGGAGTTGTGAGACCTTTTATCATTACGACTAAGGCTTGATCACAGTACTTAATACTCTTTAAATTAATTATTGAATTATCTTCAAAATCTTCAAAGCCACTAAATAAATCATTTTTTGAGTTGTATGAAACTAATTTTTTAATTGACATTTCATCAATGATTATTGACACTAGTTTGTCCTTAGCTTCAACAGACATAAATTTAGTTTTAAGTATTTCAAGAATATTTGAGTTTAATCCGCACGAAACATCTAATAATTGAAGCCAATTCCTTAATGATCTTACAGTTGGAAGACATAACCATTTCTGCATGAATTTATATGATTTTGGTGAACTATAATATAAGCTAAGGGCAAATAATTTTTCATTTTCCTTGTACCTTAAACCTCTCTTTTTCACTTGACTAAGCCTTAGTTGTGTTTGTAAAATAAAATTATTCTTTATGGTATTTTGGAAAAGGTGGTCTTTTTTTTTTAAAACATATAGATTTTTCTTTTTAAGCATGGCTATTCTAAATTTTTGTTTGGACACTAATTTTTGGTAAGCTATTATTTTTAATTTCAATGACTTTTGTGTTTCTGAGCATAATTGTTGATCATGCATATGATGTACAGGTAATTTGTAACCTACAGAATACAACATTTTTATAATACCAAATTAATTAATAGGTACTATTAATGTACCTATTAAGTATTATTAACTGTAGTTAATAACTACCTACTCCATATACGATGCATACTCTAAAGATAGTTAGCACCCAAAACATGTTCATTAAAATTGTTGAAAGTATGCTGAATATACCCTCATCAAGTTTGATAGGAACATATTTGATTATTAATGCAGTATGATAATTAATATCATATTTTATATTTTATTATTAGTTAACTATCTAATTAACAATAAATTAAAAATCTGAAAGTTACTTACAACACTCAACATAATCCATTATCTGTAGTCAATTCCAATTAAAATAAGTCATAATAACAAAACAAATACATACATGCAGTAAATAATATATAATTATATGCAGTAATGCAGTATAATGATAAATAATAAATATTAGGTATATTTTAATAATTAACTAATTAATAACAGGTAGGTATATAACAAATCTAAAAGTTACTTACAACACTCAACATAATCCATTATCCATTGTCCATCCCAATTTAAATGAATAACAAAAACAAAACATATAATTATACACACATGCAATAAAAGTATAATAAAGTACAGCTGTAAAATTATATAGTTCATTAAAAAACAAAACACACTTACGTTTCTTAATATTATTTTCTGAAGCTGTTGGTAGTGGCTTAACATTTATAATATTTGGAGATTCCAACTCAGGCTCTGGATCAATAAAAAGTCTACGATGGCATAATGTATTTGATTTCTCTTGTATTTTAGATGTACCTACTTATTAATTTTTTAAAAATTTAAAAATTTAAATAGTGTAATCAAAAAAAAAAATAATAATAATAAATGAAAAAAAATTTGAACTAACCTGGGGATTGGGAATTAGTTATGCATTGTATTACATGAGGACTTAAAACTTTAGGTAATGCCGTTAATACAGACGGAATAGAGTCTTTGAACAATAATCTGTAAATATAGGTATGTATTTTGAAATAATAAGGAAATAGGATAATATTTACTTAGATGACTTTATATAAAGCAAAACTATTCTATCTATGTAAAAGTTGAATAACTCACGTTTTATTTCCTACACCTTTCCATATAATGTAATCAGATGATTTAAAATGATCAGAACAAATAACACGGTTCTTGTTTAAAAATCTAGAACCTTTAGATTTGAAAACATCCATAATTTCTGAGCTTCCACACCACTCGACCCATTTTTTACACCTAATATATTAATTTATACAGAAATCGTAAAATGCAATTTAAAAATATATTACCAAAAATAATATCAAAATATTTAATCTACAATTATTATTTATTTTTATTTAAAAGCATATTATGGTTCTGTACATAATTATTTTAAGAAACTTACAATTCTTCATTAGATGGAAATCTATGAAAAGCTAAATTTGGATTTAATTTCCCTCTATTGTAACAATATTTTGTTGAACATGACTTTTTAGAACACATTTTTATTTTTCATACGTTTTTGTATTATACAAAACAAATATTGATCTTTATACGAGAAAATAGTCATTTTTGTTTACAGCCACTTAACATTTTGGCGGTATTTATTATATGAATTACGAATTACGCCTTGGATATAGGCAAAAACAGTACAACTGAGGGCTCCGTATGTCGCTACTGATTACCATTGACCTTCTCGTATTATCATTTATAGTATTTGTTATTACTATTCAAATATTTAATAAGCCTCGTATACGTTGCTATATCGTGTTTAATTTGCTTTAGTTTATGAACGCAGGTCATAAGTTTCTATAGGACCTGTAAAATATAACTTAGAAAACTTTATTTGTACCAATTCAACAACCAGGTTAACAAGATCGGTTCGTGTAGTGGGAA